ACTGTTGGCCACGTGTTGACAGCAGTGTTTTTCTGTGCCAGTCACAATCCTAAACTGGGTTACAAAAATGCCAAAGGCCAAAATCCTAAAAGCTAGGCTTAGCTGGTAGAGTTGCAGATTCAAACCTGAGAGGAATCTATTTGCAGGCATCACAATTTTGATTTCACAATGTGTATCTCTGGAGAAAAAGTTTAAATCACATTGACTACAGTATTGTAGTAATACAGTATGCCAAAAGAACTAGCACAGGCAAGGATGTACACGTTTTTTTTGTCTGTCCAAAAAATTACACTTAAACTTTAAGCTCAGAATTGGCATATGCAATCTAACAAAAAGGCACTCATAGGAAGTTTTCATATTAAGTTTTGCCGGGACAACTGTATTATGGAAATTATTACTCCAAGCTATACTTACGAGTGCCGTCAAAGTGGTTTGCAATGGTGTCCAAGAAGGTGTTTTGTGGAGCAAGGAGGCCCTTCATCACAGGCATCTTTTACTAGAGATAAGGCTGCAGACTCTCAGAAAACAGTTTTCAGTAGTTCGTCACTATTTCCCAAAGAGGACCTGAACGAGAACCACGGTGCCTCTCCGCGTGCTCGCTTGTAACTCTTCCACAGTGTTCTAATGGTATTTTCTTTTCTATGCTGTTGAAAGGAAACAACTAACTTGCACCATACATTTCTTCTTCGGAAGAGAGCCTGGAGGTGTTCATTTCGCTCTCAGTATTGAGTCAATAGCTGTCAGGCTTAGTTGTGCATCCTTCTGCTCTCAGCACTGCTCCAGTATCACAGCAAAGCCTCCGCTTCTCTTCACTCAGTCTAACTCCGCTCACCATGGTTCCTGCCATCTCTGAGTGCCCTGCCTTTCTCTCTCCCTCCCTCTATCTCTGATACAAAAGCCTGAACCTTCCCCCTTTCCACACACTGTGGATTTATTTGTATCTCCTTCACCTTCTCTCTCTTTCTCATATAAAACCTACATCATCTTACTTGCCACTCCCAGAGAAGTGATCAGAAATCCCTTTCTTCTCTGTCTGCTCTCTCCTCTCTTTTTCTCTCTCTCTACCTCTCCATCTAAAACTCTTTATTGGGAGGTACAAGATCCTATTCTGTTGCTCAGGCTGCTCGCTTGAAATTGTTGATCATTTAGAATTAATATGCACAATTAATATGCATAATATAACACACACACACACACACACACACACACACACACACCATGTGTTGGTTGCTGGGGATATTCTACAACATAGGGGACAAGACTGCTTTTGTATCTGTATAAAGATTTGACTCTACTTCTGCTCTTCTATGGACATAGTGTTCAGCGGTCTGGTTGAATAAAGAGCTGCACTAGACGATGATTCGGTGTCTGGCTCAATTATACATCTACTGTTAAACTTGATGTTGTTCAGCTGCTTGAAGAAGAATCTATCAATATTACAATATGTATATCACATTTACTTGGTTACATAAACAAACACCCACATTCATAGTTGCTGTAACACAGCATAAGCATGCACATAAGCTAACCCACTCACGGTATTTCTAAATGATAACACACACCGCTTCTTTGTAGAGCAAACATGTGGTCAGCACAGCTAATTAAAATCAATGTTAGTTTTCATATCAAAGGTATTTTAGTTTTGTCTGTTTGAAAAGGTTACATATTGATCCACAAAAGAGTCATCTTGTCAGATTTAAAGCACCTTTAACGGCAAGATAAGCAATCTAATGGCAATGGTAAAATTACAGATTCAGCTTGAGGCAAGGTGTATGCTGTAACATGTTGCTGAGCAGCAGTCCTTCTTGAATCTGTCCCACATTTTGTGCTTATTGGTTACTCTGCAACAGAAGTGAGTACCCTGTCAGACAGCTGTCTAAAATAATCTGGTCCCCCTTAATTTGTATTTACTGCAATTACAATCAGCATTGTGTGAGGTAAAATGGTTTCTGTTTTTATCAGGTGAAGCTCCAGGAAAGGCAAATCAATAAAATGTCCCCAAAGGTAACAAACAAACGTGTAAATTTGTGTATAATGTAGCCTATCTGTGTTAGCATAGATTAATGTTAGGTAAAGAGTCCCAGTGAAGTAATTAGGCAAACTATAAGATCATCTCCCTCTGCAAATTGAGCAACTCTCTTCTAGAACATTTCAACATCTGCATAAATACACAGCTTCTCAATAATTTTCTATGACACTCCTACAAGAATCTGTAGATATTGGAATGCTGATGAAATAAAGTAAAATTATTGTGTCCATTTATCTTACATTGTGTACAGAAAACACAAGTATCATTCGTCTCACAAAGCATCCTCTAAGCAAAAGCACACTACGTACAAGCAGAGGCCAGTGTTACATAAAGAGACTCAAGGAGGGGTATGGCTTTGTCTCTCAGTATATATGCAAATGGTTCTCTGAATCTGATTACATCCAACATTTTCAAATTTAAAAAGCAGATTTGAATTTTTTACTTCTGAGAGGAACTTTAAATTGTGTTTATTTCTTTTTTTAAATGGACGAAAAAATCCAACCGCATTCCTTCAGCCCTCCCCCAAAACACATTTTCATGCACAGTGAATACACAGGCAAAGTTCAAGAAGGCGGGCAGATAGACATGCAGATAGGCAAGCATTCATTGGTCCAAATTAAATGATTGCTGCACTTATTACAGTCCTGCGACAGCCACAGATACGTTTTTTTTTTCATTTTGTGTCAGAGCATTTTATTTACAGATTGCTGTAAAGAGAATTTCAACAACATAAAATGCTTCTTAAATAAATTGCCTACCACAGCTTTAAAACATGCAAGGTTTTGAACCTCCAAGGTAATCCATGTGGGGCTATAAAAAAATATTATAAAATATGGTTACCAAGTATAAATACATACACACAATTATGCTAATATATTTGAGCTACAGAATACCACACATACGGTAGATCAGGACAAACAGAAGTGACTAGAACAACTGTGTATATATTTTTTTGTCCTATTGGATCTGCACTTTTGTCATATCAGCACCATCTTGTGGTCCTCTTTATTCCCAAACTGTGATGGTCTTATATAATGAATGAACTGAGAAGCTAGGCTGTTCAGTGTATTCAGTATAACTAACTGTACAAAATTATTGGGATGGGGTGTTGCCATACAGTTCAATGCTGTTTCTCAATTTTGTGAAGTGAACAAATGGCATGCTTTTTAGATGGATAATATTTAATTCCTACTAATTACAGAGATCCACAGTTTCTACTCTGTTTACTTTTTCTTAACTGACATTAAGCTTCTACTAGCTACTAATTGATGAAGTGAATTGAAGTAGAAAATAAAGCCTCGAAACAGAGACTTGATAGTTGTCCTCTGTATATGGTCAAAGGCACCATTATGATCCAAGGTGCACACAAAAGGCATTATTTTGGATGTACATTTTTGTTCAGTAATTCTTGACTTCCGGACTGGCTACATACTTCTTAGAGTAGTTTCAATCACAGCCTTTTTGTTAGATGGAAAGATTGTGAGGAAAAATGCTATGAAATAAGAATGCTTTCTTATCAATTAAGTAATGGAACAGAAGAAAAATCAAATCAACATTTGGTGTCTTTAAAAACAGCATAAATTCTTGTACAGTAGGTACTCTTGCACAAAGCTTTAGAAGGAACTCTACAGGTAGTTTGGCCCAAACATCTTGGGGAACTACCTACAGTCCTTCTGTGGATTTAGGCAGCCTCAGTTGCTTCTCTCTTTTCATATAAACCCAGACAGACTCGATAATGTTGACAACAGGCCTCTGTGGGGACCATCCCATCAGTTCTTTTTGCTGAAGATCGTTCTTAATTACTTTAACTGTGTGTTTGGGGTTGTTGTCATGCTGCAGAATAATTTGGGGCCTATTGGGTGACTCCATGATAGTATTGCATGATAAATAAGTATCTGCATGTACTTCTCAGCATAACTCCCCAAACTTGCAAGCAACCTCCACCATGCTTCACTGTTGCCTGCAGACACTCATTCTTGTAACACTCTCCAGCCCTTCGGCAAACAATCTGCCTTCTGCCACTGCCAAATATTTCAGATTTTGAATTATCACCTGCTGCCATTTTTCTGCACCCAAGTTCCTGTGTTTCTGTGCATAGTTGAGTTGATTGGCCTTGTTTCCATATCTGAGGTATGGCTTTTTGGCCACAAGTCTTCCATGACAGCCACTTCTGACCAGACTTCTGTGGACAGTAGATGGGTGAACCAAGGTCCCACTGTTTTCTGCCAATTATAAGCTGGTAGCACTGCTGGACATTTTCCGATTGCAAAGGGAAGTAAGCATGATGTGTCTTTCATCTGCTGCAACAAGTTTCTTCAAAAAATCGTGGAAAAATACATCTGGAAACCCCTGTCTGCCTTGAAGTGACCTTGTTTATGCTGTATAACTACCTTGTTTCTTGTTGCTGTGTCTTGCCATGGTGTATGACTTTTAAACTGTCTTAGCAACCTCACCTTGTTAGCCGAGTTGGTCTGTGCCTTATCCAGTTGTATTGCTCCTACACAGGTTTTTCTGTTTAAGTTAATGAGTGTGTTTCAACCTACATATTGAATTGGTGATCAACAGCACCTGTTTGGTATAATTGTTTTATCATACACCTGACGATTTGCCTACGAAATCCCCAACTTTGTGCAAGTGAACCTAGAAGAATTTATGCTGTTTTGAAGGAAAAAGGTGGTCACACCAAATATTGATTTGATTTATATTTTTCTTCTGTTCACTGACTTTGTTTTTTCCACACTTTTGAACAGTTCTGAATATAGGATATAATTATAGTTATTAACATGATTTGGGTTTCTAGGGACTGCATTATAAGCTTGAGCCGTGATAGAACCATCAATGCACTTGATTTTTGTCAAATGTTGTGATGTCAGGTAGCTGATGTATTTTGAGCACTTTCTTAATAATAGATTTAAGAAATATATAACCTAGAAAACCCACCAAGAATACTTAATGACATGTTGTCAGCTTTACATATTTTATTACACTACAAGGTTTTGTCCATATATGTACACAATTACACATTGTTCTAGAGTTATCTCATGCGGTCACAGTTCAAAGAAAATCACAAAAATGTTTCTACATAAGCAGTAAAATATACATTTGTTGAAATAACACTCACCAAATAAGTGAAATTTTTTTTTGTACCTACAGTCTCAGTATACTTATACCATGAGGTATTTAGCTTAAATCAGGCAGGGGCGTTGTGATGGTAGTTCTTGACTGAGCCATCCAGTCCATGTACTGCTCCCCAGACCTTTCTTCAGTCCTCTTCCCCATAGTCAGGATGCCTGCTGCTTGGTTCCTGGAGCCTTGGAGGAGCTGGTGGAGTCGGCTCTGCAAGCGTTCCTCATCTTCTTTCCGTTTACCCAGAGTGAGGATGCCAGCGGCAGCATCTCCTGTAAGCGTTCTCCCTGAGGTGTTGCTGCCAGAGCGACACAGCAACACATAGAGGCGACAGGAGCGAGACGGTTCTCTGCAGCACTCAGACACACTGTGAGCATCACAGGCCAGTTGAGACAGCAGCAACATCAAAACCAGCACCAGGATTTTCTGCTGGGCAAAAAAGGTTAGTTTACACTAAAATGAACTGATACAAAAATACGATCTGTAAAATGTTTCAAAACTCCACTTAACAAAATCTAAATATTGTTAAGCATGTATGTTTTATGTGCATACACCATGCTTAACATTTTGCTGATTAGATCTTGAAAGTGTATGTTTAATGCTGATTGACTCAAAGGACTTAATCATGGATGGTTAGACAAACACCTGACATTTATTCTAAATATTCATAATAAAACCATAACCTCTAGTCATGGATACATTGAGTATTACCATAATCGACAGTTGGGATAATGGTTCTGTGCATATTTATTTATCCATGCATTATTGACATGAATCACTGAATCTGCAATAAACTAATAGAAATTTATTCCACATACATGCTAAAACCTTAATCTCTTGTCAAACATAAACAACGTTACATTTATTCATTTTATCTGACACTTTTTATCCTAAGCGACTTACAATTGCTATACATGTCAGAGGTCACACGCCTCTGGAGCAACTAGGGGTTAAGTGTCTTGCTCAGGGACACACTGGTGGATGTCTCACAGTGGGGAATTGAACCCAGGTCTCTCACACCAAAGGCAGGCGTCTTATCCACTGCCCCACATCACCCCAGTCTAACAGAATCTATTTTATTTTTTTAAAGTTCTTATAATTGAAAATGTGCAACCCCAGTCATGGATAAGTAATTAACCTAAATTATTATTTGTGTTTTTTCATAGAAACAGATACATAGGAACAGAGAGGGACATACAGCCTAAGCTAATTTGCAGGTAAAATTACTATGTAAAGACGTTGATTACTCGTGACTATATGCATGATTACCACTCAGAGAGTTTCAACTTCTTCAGATGTCCCAGTAATGATCCATATTAATCCCCTGAACAGAGAAAACTGTCTGTCCAAAAGAAATTTGTAAGAAAGGGTGTCCTACAGTTCCCCGTGAATGCAACCCAAGTACCATTGCTTCTCCATGTGAACTTGCGGTGACATGGTGAAACAGTGTCACTTGTAAAAAGCTCAATTGGAAATGTTCAGAACAAATGAAAAAACTAACATAAACTTGATCATTTTATCAAAACTAACAACAAATTTATCAAAACACTTTCAGTCAGCTGCCTCTGAAAATACATCTTCAGAAAGATTTATAGACATAGAAAGACCTGGCTGCAAACTAATAAATGAGTAACATCCCTTATGCAAGTTTTAAAACCATGAATTTGCAATTTTCAATGAAATACTCATCCATCCATCCATCCATCGTCAACTGCTTCTCCTGCGTACAGGGTTGCAGGGGGCTGGAGCCAATCCCAGCTGACTTCAATGAAATACTAATAAATAAAAAATCTAACTCAAGCTGTCTTACCCTATTAGACGTGTCCATCCCAGCAGCTTTCTGGAAATTAGTCGAGAGCCACGTCATCTTCTGGCTTGTCTGAAGGGGAGTAATCTGATCTTCTTTCTCCCCATGGGAGAAACGAGTGTCTTTTATATTGTTCAGAGAGGTCCACACGGATGGACGTCATTCAGGCCAACCACAAACATGACACAAAAACTAAATTCTCTTGTTTGAAGTGATGTCAAGCTCGCTGACATTAATTAGTCTCCTGTTGCAGATCATCTCCAAGACACTTCTCTGGACCTCTGATGAACTACAGGTATTTCTTTGTGGCTGCATGCCAAAGTTTTATGAAGACATACCATTATAATGAGTAGTGAGTTCTAAAATATAAATATAGAAAAAGCCCAGATGCCCTTTCTCAGTTCTAATGACAAGCTCATTCAAAAGTCATGCTAATGAGCTTCTATGGGCTTTATTCTCTGGTACAAAAGCTGCCATACTAACACATCAAAAACAGTTTTGTGCATTATCTTGTTCCTAACACAGTGTTCACTTGTGGGCTGAAAAGGTCCCCAAGACTTCAATTATGTTTGTTTTTTTTCAATTCAACAACTTTATTAAACCCACTAGGGGCAATTCTTTAAGAGCAGCATGTTTGCAAAAGTACATAACGCAAAATATTCAACTAGGCAGTATAAGCATTCACGCTGCCCTCGTATTACTCTTTTGGGAAGCCAGTGTGACGGCCCCTCTGCACAGTTCATACTGCTGTTGGTGTTCTTTCTGTCTTCAGATTGGTGCTCAGACAGTAGAGTAATTGACACCTACTGCTCACCGGACCTAGAGGCCATGTCTGTCCAGTGCCGACCCTTCTACCTGCCACGGGAGCTAACGGTAGTCACTGTGACTTCTGTCTACATCCATCCCAAAGCTAACGTTAGCACGGCACTCGGCCAGCTTCAGCCCATGGTAACTAAACTACAGAGGGCTTATCCGGATGGCGCTCACATCATCGCGGGGGACTTTAATAAAGCACTCCTTAAGACTGTTCTCCCCAAATTCCATCAGCACGTTAAGTGTGCCACTAGGGGAGAAAACACATTAGATCATGTTTACTCCAACATAAAACATGCCTATAGAGAATCCCCCCTCCCTCATCTCGGACAATCAGATCACCTCACCCTGTTCCTCTTCCCAGCCTACACCCCCCTCAGGAGGCAATTAAACCAGCCACACAGACCATCACAGCCTGGCCTGAAAACGCTCTCACCCAGCTGCAAGACTGCTTTGCCTGCACAGAGTGGAGTACTTTTGAAGATCAGGACTTGGACACGCACACTGAGTCTGTCCTCTTCTACATCAAGTGCTGTATCGACAACGTCACAGCGGAGAGACGCATCCGGATCTTCCCAAACAGGAAGCCCTGGATGACAAGTGAAGTCCAGACACTGATCAGAGCTCGTAACTCTGCCTTTAGGACGGGAGACAGAGTTCTTTACTACACCGCCAGAGCTGACCTGAGGAGGGGCATTAAACAGGCCAAGGACTCCTATAAGAGGAAAGTAGAGGGACATCTGATCGACAACAACCCGCGACAGATGTGGAAGGGTATTCAGGCCCTAACCAGCTACAAAGGCCGCTCCCCTCTCACATCTTCCAGCAGCAGCACCCTGGCAGAGGAGCTAAACAGCTTCTTTGCCCGCTTTGAGATCACCACCACACACCTGCAGTCACTGTCTCCCCCTGGCTCTAGCACTGCACCTCTTTCTATTCAGGAGCATGAGGTGAGGAAGAACCTGAGAGCAGTGAACTCTTCAATCTCTCCCTGATACATGCTACCGTCCCCACATGTCTGAAGGCCTCTACCATCATCCCCATTCCCAAAAAAACTGCCATAGACAGCCTGAACGATTACAGACCCATCGCTCTGATGTCTGTAATTATGAAGTGCCTGGAGCGATCAGTCTCCCAGCACATCAGAGACTGTCTCCCTCCCTCATTCGACCCCCACCAGTTTGCCTACAGGGCAAACCGGTCCACGGAGGATGCCATCGGCCTCACACTCCACACAGCGCTTAGCCATCTGGACTACAGCTCAGTGTTTAATACAATCATTTCCGACATTCTTTACAGTAAACTGACACAGCTACAGATCCCTCTCCCCACCTGTATCTGGATTAAAAACTTTCTGTCGAGCCGCCCACAATCTGTGAGACTAGGCCCCCACCACTCCTCCACACTCATACTCAGTACTGGTTCCCCTCAAGGCTGCGTTCTGAGTCCTCTGCTGTACGTCCTGTACACCTATGACTGTTCTCCAACCCACCCAACAAACCACATTATAAAATATGCGGATGACACCACAGTAGTTGGATGTATCCACGAAGGGGACGAGACAGCGTACAGGGCAGAAGGATCTGTCGCGCTGGTGCTCAGACAATAACCTGACCCTGAATATCCCTAAAACAAAAGAACTAATTTTGGATTTCAGGAAGCACAGACAGGACTACACCCCTCTCCTCATAAATGGAGATGGGATGGAAATGGTCACCACCTTCAGGTTCTGGGCACTTACATCTCTGCTGACTACTCCTGGACCCATAACATCAGGGCCCTGGTCAAGAAGGTTCAGCAGCGGCTACACTTTCTGCGTGTCCTCAGGAAGAACAATCTGGAAACGAAGCTGCTGCTGGCTTTCTATCACTCCTCTGTGGTGAGCGTACTAACGCACTGTGTAAGTGTGTGGTACACAGGCTCCACAGCTGAGGACAGGAAGGCGGTACAGAGGGTTATAAACACTGCCCAAAAGATCATTGGCTGCCCTCTGCCCAGCCTGGAATACATCTCCATATCCTGTTGCCTCAGGAGAACCAAGGCCATCACAAGAGACCACTCACACCCTGCCTAGCCCCTGTTTGATCGTGCCCATGGACACTCACACACATAAGCCTCCAATTCACCCAATAACGCCCGAAACAGCAGACAATCAGCCCACTTCCCCCCTATTTTGCACTCTTGTAATAACTATAGACACTTTAAGACTTTGCCTTTTTATTAGATTTTGTGTGTGTATATAGAAATATACAATACAAGTATATATAACATATATACATATTTTATATTTATATATCCTGGTTGTATATATTATTGTGTCTCTATTTTTATGAGAACATAGTTTGTTTTAACCTGTTTTTGTCTTTTTTGTTCTTTCTTTCTTTTATTATTTTTATCGTGTAAGGGTGGCTCCGTGGGAGCACCCTAAATTTCGTTGTACCTTCACAGTGCAATGACAATAAAGACTATTACTACTACTACTACTACTACTACTACTACTACTACTATTCTATTCTATTCTCTTCTTCAGGGCTGCAGACCTGATTGGCAGAGTAATGGGCCCGGTGTGCCCCATGTCACATACTGTATAAGCCAGAGCAGTCAGTCTTGGTTGGACTTCCTTATCTCACGGCTTCTTTTGCTCGTTTAGTTTTTTGTCTTTGTTTTTACAGTACAACATCCATGCAGCACATTTTCACTCATCCACTCCCTACATTACTGATCTTCCCACTCATTGGTTTTGCTTATTTTCTTATTAATAAATCACTTTATTTAGTTTAGTGTCTCCCGTTTTGTTACAGTCCAAGAGCCGGGCTGTGACACCAGTAACTCTTAGCTACACCCCTGCTCCAAAATGAGCTGCTTTGTAAACCGTCGAATACCGGCCTCTCATAAAACAACAACAGGATCACAAAAATCACTTGAAAGAAATTACTGACTTTCAGATTGTTGCTTTTCATCCTTTCATCCTCATAACCACTTATTTCATATGTGTTGCCATCTTATGGACAACAGGAAGCATTGCTTTAAATAGACAAACTCATTCATGACAAAATAAATAGCCTACTTCTTTTTAAATGGTAATTGATCAAGAGAATTAACATTGCACTTATTGCTGAAATTCAAGTCAAATTATGAACGGGCATATCCTCATTTGAAAGTCATTAAAGAGAAATGAACGAGAGGAGACGGGATAAACAATGAAGCCAGTTTTAATGGGCCACTAAACAGAATCCACACTCACTTTGCAGTGAAACACATATCTGGTTATTGTTTGACCCTTGTGTTGAGCGCTAACCCGTAATTCCTCGTTCCAGTCCCACATGCACCAGTTGTCCTGATCTGCACCACAGAACCAACAAGTGTCAAATGACTGTATATGTGGAAGTAATGTTAAAAAAGAAACAGAATATCAATAGAACTAACAACAATTATCATAATATCAATTATTAATGTCTGTGTCTGCAAGAATTATTATAGCAATATATGTTTCTTTCGTACATTTTAAATACAGTTTACATCTATATTCACTTTATTTTGTGTTTTTATTGACAGCAGTACCATGTACCTGTTGACCATTGACCTCTAACAAGCAGGGTCAAATATTCCAGTTGTGAGTAGCTGGTGAGCCCGCCACCTACGGACGTGGGCTAGCTCTACCCTGGGGACCAAAACACCAACTCACGTAACGTTACACACACAGCCCCAAGGGAGGAGACAAGGAGACCTGTGGGGATAGTCCAGGAATGTTTTAATCCAAAGGAATGACACTGGAGATGTGTGGGGCTCGATGGAGGTTGAGACCAGCAAGGGATGCAAGAAGAGTGTCCATGTGACTAAACACATCAGCTGCAGTTAGTTTTTCTATTTAAGCTCTACAGCTCCCTGATTTGCGCTGAAATGGTCATCTGTGACTCCTACAGAGCTCAGCCTAATCGAGCTGCTTAACTTTGTGCACTTAAAATAAAAATGGGCATCCTCTTCTTTGAAAGGAGTAAGGGTTTGCACTTAGCTTTATGTCTAAGATGGAGGAGAAAAAGTGTGAACATGAAGAAATAAATGCTCAAAGACATGCCAAGGAGTCTCTGGAAATGAAAAGGCAAATGTGTCGTAGAAAATGCCAATGTGAGGTAAAGCCTGTACCCACAGAGCTAGAGTACATAGTGGAGGGGTATGTAAATAGCATTGCCCAGAGAGAGACAGAGATATATAAGTCACTGATCCAACTACTGAACACGTTCCTATGTAGAAACACATATCAGAAGTTTGTTACCATCTGTTACCCTTTTGGACTTTTCACAAGAGAGACAACAGAAGAGACCTAAACTTCCTGGCTC